CATTTGCACTCGCAATATTGACATGGTTGATCGGACAGTGTACAAGAACTACTTACTGACTAAAGTGTTTCCGGCAATTAAGGAAAAGTGGCCAAGAAAGGACCGCGGGCAGGTTATCTTTGTTCAACAAGATAACGCAAAGCCGCATGTTCCACCGTCCGAACCGGACATCGTTGCAGCGGGAACCGAAGGAGGCTGGAACATCAGGATTTGGTGTCAAGCTCCCAATTCGCCGGATCTAAATTGTCTCGACTTGGGAGTATTCGCGTCCATGCAGAGCCTACAGCATCGTTTACCAAGAAAGGGTATCGCAGCTCTTATTGCGTCGGTGGAGGAGGCGTATCGAGACATGAAGACTGACACTGTGGATAATATCTTCCTGTCTCTACAGGCGTGCATGCTGGAAATCCTGCGACAGAAGGGAGGGAATTTGTACAAGACACCACACCTGGGAAAGGCAAAGCTCCGGCGAGCCAAGCTGTTGCCTGTTAGCTTGTCGTGTAGCAGGGATCTATACGAAGCAGCAATTGTATTGCTTAGAGCTGCTAGTCGTGGCAGCGCACTGCTTTTCGATTCTTCTTCCATTTAACACTTTCAATATGATTTGAAAATTGATATCACTTGTTCAATAAGATTTGGCAAACAAAAAACCTCCCAACCTGTCATATTGCCTTCCTGCAATCATTATCAACCAGAGGAAGTACAACCTTCTGATGCGTAGTCGAGGCAATCGCCGTCTTCGCTGTGCACAACAGCTTCGCCACCACTGTCGTCATCGTCTGAAGAGCCAAAAAGAGAAGTCCCTTGGATAGTAGAGGAAGCGGGCCTTGTTCGAAGGGTACTAGTACGTTGAGGTACTTCTTCGAACGCATCCTCTTCAAACTGATCACTGGATACGGCATTTCCAGATTCAATGTCTCATAATACGCGCATAGTTAGTTTACAATCAGTATCATTGTATATGCCGACGACGCAGCATTTCTAGAGATCCCAACTGCAACGGGGCTGCCGTAGCTAACGTCAGAGGAAGCCGTACGACTCAAAGCGTCCCTAAAACTAAGTTCCTTATCCGAAGGAAACTTACAGCCTAAGAACCAGGGCTCAAAGTTATTAAGAACACTAATAACTTTTATGTTTCAAAACCAGAAGTGTTTTATTTATTCTTATTGCGGCCAAGCCACTATCTATGTTTAACTATATAGCATAGTTAAACCTAATCAAAAGCATATCGTGTGGCCCTCAGCCTATATAGTGAGGCCACTGTTAACTCTACGAGTCATGTACTGACAGTCTGTTAACTCTTCGGGTACTCCGTACCCATGTGTGCGCCACACACATGTAACCCCGTTACAACAACCCTGGTTGGTGGCGGCGAAGGAGTAGTTGAGTTAGCTGCCGGTGGCGGGTCTTCTTTTAGAGCTGCACCTAAGACTGTCAATTCAGCAACCTCGCTACCAGATATAGGAGCTACACACAAAGTTAGACGTTAGTAGAGCTCAGACAACTGAAAGCGCTGGATATAAAGATCATTACATTTCGCAGTACACGCTGAACTTAGCGCTTGGACAGCTGCCGTCGATTGAACTCCAGGTGGGACAGCAATGCTGTGTTAGTTACAACAGCAAAGACACATCCAACATACCTCGTACCAGTGGCGTAGTGTGCGAGTACGCGATCTTCACCCAAAAAGTAGTCCTTGCCCTCGAACGCTATTGGCGTTCCGGCCTGGCGGGATAAATCCCCATCGAGTCTCAATTGCGCGGGCAGGCGGCAGCTTGTGCGTTCATCCGCTCGCTTTCCGCTGGCTCCAAATGAGACGCGAGGTCGGCGACCCGCTGTCAACGATGCTCTCCGCGCGGCGCTTTCCTCGAGCAGCACCCAGTTTTGGTCAACTAGGCGAATTCTGAAATGAGGATGGTTTGCTGGCTACTCAAATACTCCCTGCAAGTCATCATACCTGATGTGGGGTTTGTGTGGACAACCTGCAGCAAATAATAATCCAAAAGGTTGGACAGAGACCGTGACATCTTCCCGCGCCCTTTTCTTGGTATAGCGGACAGAAACAGCCCTGCACCTTGACTTCATTTTTGGATGCCCTGTAGCAGTGGCAGGCGCAAAAACAACTTCGAGTAAACAAAAGCCAAGTATAGCGTGGTTCCTGGGCTGTATATA